CTATTTATAATTATTTTTTCGTCTTTTCTATTCAATACATACATACTTTTATTAATCGTTAGATAAAACACGAATCAAATTAAGATAAGAAAAAAGATAGAAAGTAACGAAAAAATCTTGTTCATTTATTTTCGCGTGCAATATTATATCTTTTTTTTTTCTTTTTCCTTTTTCTTTAAATTGATTTTTATTTATTAATATCGTCGTTTATCGCATAATTTTTGTTTTATGAACTTTAGTGTTTGCAACAACCTCGTGTGTCGTTCTATCTATCTATGCGAGAAGTTGAATAAGTAAATGAAAAAATGGATCAAGGATTGTGTGCGGGCATCCTTGAAACTTTGACGTTGAATAGTACGAGATCGCTAAAGGATTAATGGGGGATATTATTTCAAAGACAACAAACATGCCGCGAAAACTATGAAAACTATTACGTTATTGGTACAATTTGCAAATGTTTATCGTTAGTTGGGAATATGTTAAATATTTTGTCTTCTTTTCTTTTTTTTTTTTTTATATACCGAATGACCGTGATATATAAGATCCATAAAATGCTAATTTAAAAGCATTAACATTGTTGGAAATTCCTAACTCTCTTCTGAGACGTTATGTATCATTGGCGGGTCACATTAACGTTCGTACTACTTGAAGTTATTCGATTTTTCTCTTCGCATTTAACTCCTATCGAATTATCTATGTATCTTTTTTTTTAATCATTATTATTATTATTTGTCTTTTTTTTATATTTGTCCACAGTTGTACATAAAATGAAAATTAATTGAAAAAAAAAAAACGCGGAACATTTTTAACGATCGGTCTTATTAATTTCGAACAAAAAGCGTGGAACAAAAATATCTGATGGCTCAAATTTTATACAACATTTTTCGTAAATTTAAAAAAAAATACGTTTATTTTTCTTCATGTATATATCTCGAGTTTTAAAAATTTGTGTATATGTTATAAATTATTAAGAGATTAAATATAGATGTATAATTAAAAAAAACAAAAGGAAACCTCTTTAATAATTAAAAATAATTTTGTTCTTTTAAATTAGAAATAGAACTTTATATTATGCTTCCTATTATTTTATTTTAAGTTTATACCAATATAAGTTTCGTAATTTACAATATATTAATATTTTAGATTCTCTTGGTAAATTAAATAAATAAATTCAATATAGAATTTTTTTCTTTTAAAGATTTATTCTAACGAGTATGCTGTAAAAATAATGTAATTTCTGTTAATAATTTTGTTCAGAAGTGTTTATACGCCATCAAATAGTGGACACTCGCAATGAGATACGAAGAACACATGTATACATATACGTCATCGAAATATTGACGATCAAATACGAATATCATATCAAGCATCATAATTCATAAGCGTTTAGTACGTCAGCACCAAACACATTAATTCATAAGTGCACCAGAGCAGAAAGGTTAATAGTACATTAATCAGTAAACCGTTATCAATATTTTAATTTGCACACACGTATTTTTTTTATACATATATATATATATCGTTATATCATTAACAAAGAAAACCCCCCTCCCCCCACCCCCTCCCAAAAAAAAATGAATTTATAATTTTATTTAAAAATGAAGAAAAAAGAAAAGAAAACTAATTAATTTGACGAATTTATAATATTGAAGAAAATTAATATTCGCGTATATGGTAAAACAATATTTAGGTATATATATATATATACACAAACTGCAGAGATACAAAATAAGAATTGATACGCACATGAACACCCCCTAACTACAACTAATATATCTCTAGAAGGCTTCAAAGAATCAAATAAATATAAATATCGATTAGGTTTTTATTCTTTTTTTTTTTTTTTTTTTTTTTTTTTAAAAAAGGAAACGTTAAATTTCATTTATGTCCTTAATTATTTGGTTTCTTTGTTTCATTTTCAAACGAGGTTAAGTCTAAAATTTCGTTATCTTCTGAAGGAGAAATTAATGATAACATAGAACATTAGCTAATCGGAACAATATAGTGTGATCAATTATAAATAATATTCTTTTTTTTTTCTACGCGATAAAAAAAATGCTTAGATCATTTCTACTTAAAAAAAGACAAAAAAAAACAATAAAAAATAAAACTATACATATATCAGAATAATTGAAATATTACATAACATTAAAAGTTCTATCTATTTGGTCGGTATTTTGTACATAATAAATGATCAGTATATATAAATATTTTTGTTAATATAAATATACATTTTAATGTAATTTAAATAGATGGTCACATTGTACATATAGATAGATAAATAAATATTTATTTAATTTATAGCCTGTTGACCCACAATAAATGGACTTGATAAAAATTGGCCAATTTTTGTAATAAGGGCAAAGTTGGTTTAGGGTTATCTATTGATACAAAATATATACGAATATATAATCTATGCTCAAATATTATAACAGAATAATATTTTATAATATTATCTACTGATATCTGATTACACATATATTGATAACAAAAAAATATTGAACAATATTAATTATCTATTTTAAAAAAGAAAAAAATGAAATAATTTAATATATAAAATATTTAAATATAACTTCTGTGATCATAATAAATTAATATCCAATCGTTATTTTATTATAAATATTGATTAATAATGTTACAAAATACAGACCGAATAAATAACAGATTAATAATAACGTGCACAACATTATATACAAACTTACCTGTCTGATAAATCGTTTCGGTGATAATTCTTGATCCTTTTGAAATTGTGATGGGGGTAAATGTTCGACTTCCTGCGTCGCATCTTTATCCTTTTCTTCCTGATTGATATTCATTAGTCCTTTTATCGTAGGCTCGTGAAGATCCTTGGCTAACAACGGATCTAATTGTTTGTAATCAACGTCGAGACCCTTGTTTAAAGGATCATAAATCCTTGAACTAGCAAGGGTTTTCTGCGATTGTTGATTGTTGAAAAGTTGATGATTGTTTCTTAGATTTTCGACATAATAATGATTGGTTGATGCACTGTTGCTACCACTCGGTGATTGTTTCTTCTCCACCAGAAGGGCTGTTTGACTGTTGAAAGGGCTTGCGTTTGTTGCGAGTGTTGCGTTCGAAGCACAATCTAATGTTATGCCTGAACTTGTTGTTGATGATCTCGCAATAGACGGTACTCTCGTATAATAATTTGGTAAAACACTCCGCTCCTGTGAAATATATAAGAAAAAAAAAACAAAAATTATAATTTAATTAATATAAATGATATAAGGATTAACAAAAATAATAATGACGACGAATCTCGATAATAACAGTGGCATGTTTCTCATAATGGAAGATACAATCATAGATAATTGTTTGGAAATTAATGCTAAATTTATAAATTCGTCTTATTTATTGTCTTAATTGTTAACAACTAATGTGTTTTACTAAAGGAATAATATAATTGTGTGTAATTGTATAGTCATTTGAGGGATAATAATAATAAAAGAAAATTATCCCTCTTTTCTAAAAAAAATTTATTAATGTTGAATTTTCGTGTAATATTATTTCTATCTTTCTTTTTTTCTTTTTCTTTTTTTTTCATTTTGACGAGATTACAGTTAAAATCTTTTTATCATGCACCACAGATATACTCGTAGGATTAATATTGGACATATTCAAATTAATTTCATTGATTTTATTACGCACATATCGGGAATGAAAGAATTATTATTATTATTATTTGTGTATCCCGATGTAGTTAAAACTGGAAAGAACTAGAAGAAATTGATTGTACTGGACAGTACTGGACTTGAACTCTTTCCTTCATTTTGTGATAAACTCTCACGCTTAACGGTTTATACGATGTAAACAGATTTATATAAAATTGGACATTACATAACAATGTACGTTAAAAAAAAAAAAAAAAGAAAAAAAAAATCTTCATGAAATAAGAATACCCTCACGAAAAAAAAAAAAAATTGCAAAAAAGATCTCATGAATTTGCTGAAATATATATTTTTCTTCTTTTTTTCTTTTATATAATAAAGAAATAAGAACACATGCCGTGAAATATACATATTTTTAACAATATTATTACCCTTAATGTTTCTATTCAAAAAAAAAAGATTATTTAAAACATTTTTGTTTGTTTGAATATGATTCACAATTTTTGGAAATAAAATCCAAATAAACCTCGGCAATAAAATTTAACAATATGAAGTATTTAAATACCTTTCTAACGTTTTCCTAAATGTTCAGATTCTAGATAACGAGAGATCCAAAATTAGATGTTTTCAAAAACACTTTTCAATCAAATCTTTTGTTCTTTTTTGAATAATTCACAATTTTTGTTTTAATGGAATTTAATTACCTTGAATTCGTTTTTATTACACGACGAGGGAACTTTCAAGAAAGAAACTAAGGAAAGTGGATTGAATTTTGGGTGTGTGCATTCAATGAACAAGTACTTTATTGAGGGGTTGGATGTTCAATGTTTCAGTATTTATATACTAAAGCTTTATCAAGAATTTTATTATAAAAGAGGGAAACAAGAGACAAAATGAAATAGAAAAAGAAAGAAAAACAAAGTGGGGATATGAAATTGATGTCTATTATCAACTACTAACATGCAATGACGAAGCAAATAAGCAAAGAATAAATGCTTACTTTTTAAGATTAGATGACTTTTAGCCCGGCCATTGATAACCTTTTAACGATCTTTGTAACTAAACTTTGAATCTTATACTTTCGCAGATTGTTTGTTCTCGTATTTTCTGTTTCTTATTATTATACATAGCCTATAGATTATAATAATTAATATATGATAATTCGTCACGTTGTTAAAACCCCCAAAACTTTTAAGGATAAGTTTCAAAGCATAAATTTGAGAAAACTAATAGTAATTAATTAGAAGTTATAGTTTATATAGCATAATATAAAAAGTGTCAAGAATTTAAGACGTTTCAAATTTTTCTTAATTAGGGCTATTCGATTTCAAAAGGGAAAATATTGAATTAATTTTTGTTCTTGTTTGTATTTAATAAAAGGTTTCCATATTCTTTCGAGGTTGACATTTTATTTGTAGGATCTTTTTGTTTTTTTTTAATGCTGATATATTCCCCACGTGAAAAGGCAAGAAAAATTTGTCAGGAAAATGTTTTTATTTCTAATACCCTCCCAAAAAAAAAAAAAGAAAGAGGAAAAATAATTAGGTTATAGAGTGTTAATCACGCAGAGAGGAGCAAAGTGATCACGTGGATAACACATTGCCACAATTGTGTTTATTTCTTGATAGATTTCTCGAAAGTAATAAGATATAGATGTCAATATGGCTGCTCTTTTTTTTTTTTTTTTTTATATCGGCCCCCATTTATTCATTCGATGCTATGGAATATATGTATAAAAACTATGTCGTATAAATTATTTAATTATCATTTGTAATAATAATTGACATCATTAAACGCTATTTTATCGTCGTGAAAATTATATAAAATTTTTTTTCTCACTTTTCGTACCATTTCAAAATTAATTGTAAAGCAATAAATAAGATAAATATGTTTCTATCCGTTCGAAATAGTTTAGTAATTATATATATATATATATATATTACATGGGATAAAATTTACAATCGAGTCTACGAAATATTTATTCAATGATTCACGGCTGTTGTTTCAAATGATAATATAAAGATTCAATCGTATAATTGTTTAACGAATAGTTCATTAAATGATGGTTACGGTTATATCAATATATATTTACGGAATAATTTCAAATCACTGTTTTTATTTCAATGTAAAAAAAAAAAGAAAAAAAAAATCATATTGTAAACAGGCAAAAAGCTCCAGTGATTCGAAATAAATTTGGTGTTTACATTTTAAAACATTCGCATACCTAAAAAAAAAAATAGATACTTTATTACAAAAAAAAAAGCAACTACACACGTAAACATCTGTGTGACGCGTCCAATGATTCGAAATGAATTTTTTTTTTGTCACTTGCCATTTTAATATTCATACAAATAATATATTGAAAAAAACAACGTTTCGTATTAAAAACAACGCGTCTTTACGCGCAGTGATTCGAAAATGAATGTACGTTTGATTTAAAAAAAAAGAAAAAAGAAAAAGAAGAAAAAGAAAAACGTTCGTTAAAATAAAATGAATCGTTCCGATAATATCATCTAAAAATACTCATCGATCTTATGTTTATTCATATTTTTTTTTTTCTTATTTTTTTTTTTTTTATCGTACACGCGTAAGTACGATGAAATTAATTACAGAACGAGACGATTTCTCGTGTTTGATCATTTGCCGATCAAGCTCGAGTAACCACCTTGATTGCTTTTTCAAGTAATAATGGCTATATCAATCCTTTATGTTAATGATAGTGTTATCTAAATAACGTGGTTTCATTTTTGCATATTAATTATCTGTCTGTCTGTCTGTCTGTCTTTATATTGATCGAAATAGTAACCACGATAAATATTAAATTTTTGGATAAATTACGTCTTTGATCGTAGAATGCATCGTTCGAAGTTATCATCGTACGAAGGTCGAATTAATAGAGGGATAAGTATTCGCTTTTATACGAATCAATGGATAATCGATAATCGATGATCGATAGACCGTAGTAAATAAATCGTGATTTAAAACTCGCGCGTTTCTTGTCTGATTGTAAACATTGACAAATATTGCGTCAGATCGGCCTATATTTTTTATGCTTTTATATATAAGTAAAGTTATTATTAATATAAAAACCTTCATCATTTCATGTGTGTGTGTATGCTTTGTTGTCTCATTTATTTTTATTCTATACTTTTAATTTGGATTTGATAAAAATAATAATAGGAATTGCAAACATACAAATTAAGTTCTTTTTGGAATTATTAATATGATATAAAAATATGAAAAATTGTTTCATCGTATGTTTGTAATTTTCTTTATAAATACAATTGAGCTTTGTCTTATCTATGACGTAATTTTTGACAAGGGAAAAATATAATAGTATTAATAGTATTAATTTATCTATAATACACTATATTTCATAGGAGACTTTCTAAATAAATATGAAACTTGTTAGACAAGTTAAAGAGTCAAGGTAATATCTTTGCTTATCTCGGTTGACGGGTATGAACTAGTAAATTGGTTATAAAATCTGTAAATAATACATCAACTACTTTCACGCCGTGATATATATACATATATAGCGTTTATATGTAATAAAAAATAAATAAAAATCTCATAATGGTTGATTATTTTCGTTAGAAACTAAATAGCTCTTTTTAAATTGATTTATATGTATATAGAATTATTTCTAAAAAACGAACAACAATATGAACTGTGTTAGAAATCATTTCGAAGAATTAGGCATGATCAAGATGGATCATGCGCGAATAAATCATAAATACAATATACTTATGGTTTTATGTGAGCAAAAAAATATTTTACCGGAAACGAACTGTCAATTAATGTCTGTTATTATGAAGAAAAAAAAAAAAACAACTAATTATTTTTACACGATTTATTCTCGTCCGATATCACATGAAATCAAATAAGTACTTAA